ATGCAGCTACCAACAATATGTTGTCCCCAACTAACCTGCAATATACTCCAGATTCAATGCAAGAGGTTGCTGTCCCAACCGTTTCTGATGCAACTGGTCGGGTTACCCCCACGGTTTCTGGTAGTTTCTCAATTTTGGGTAATCAACAATTAGCTGATATGGAGATCGGGATAACCATAAGGGACTCTAGGATGTTTCTCAATGAGCCTCAGCTGGCTGCAACCCAGCAGCAACACAGTGTTGCACTAGTTTCCCCGGATTCCGTTAATTCTTCATCACAACTTTTGGATAGGCAACATGTGTTTGAAGATCTGAGTGCGGTCCCATCCACTGCCGTCCAATACCCCAATCCAGCTAGTCCATTGTTGTCCCCGAATAACCCTCAAAATACTTCAGATACTTTGCAAGTGGTTGCTGTCCCAACTGTCGTAGAGGCGACTGGTCGGGTTACCCCCAAAGTCTCTGGTAGTCAATCGTCTAATGTAGCCGGGGCGAAATGCTGTCGCATCCTTGCCCCAGTCTTTACACCATCCGGGTGTCTCACCGGTCCCTGTAGTGGCGATCCCCCAGCTCGCAGAGTTAGCCCCTGTGTCTAGCTTGCCCATAGCAGCAAATGTTATGGTGCCTAGTGCATTAGCTGCAAGTGGGTCGAACCCATCAGAGTCAGTCTCGTTGCAACAACTCCAAGCTGAGGCGTTAAGGTTGTCAAGCGCATTGCAATTGCAACAGCAGCAGCTTCAACAGATGCAACAACAATTTGTGGCGAACCCCCTGCCACAGGAAGTGGCTTCAGTAATAGCTAACTTGCCTACAGCAACAAATGCTGTCGCGCCTTGTGCACATGCTGCAAGCGGTTCGAACCCAACCTTGGCGAAAGCACACCAAGCAATAGCATCTACCTATGCGCCCCCAGCATCAATTGCGAAGGGCGCTGCGTTAGGCGCGCCACTAGGAACAAATCTTAGACAAGCGAGCCTTGCGGGTACACCATGTGGTAATTCGACCCGTCGAGCCACAGGAAGTGAGTTATTCCCGCGGCAGGTGCTTCCTCCGGTCATGCCGCCATTGCCGTTGCCCCTTGTCCAACAAGGTGTTCAACACTCAATGCCATCATCTCATCACCACAAAAGTTCATGTAGGTCTGTTGACTCTTCAAGTTCAGGGTCATCATCCGACAGTTCCTCCCTGGCACCTGTAGATTTCGCGAGGCAGGAAGAGAAGACCATTATGGTTAAGTCCCTGACTGACCTGGTATTCCCCCACCCTGTTAATGCAGGTGAAGCCCGAGGTTATGTGAACCAGGCGTTAATGGCCATAGGCAAACTTCAAAAGACCCCTGGTAATGAACTTTACTTGTGGGCCCAGGAGTGCCTAACCTCAACCGAGGAAGAACTCCAAGCCGACCCCCGCTACCCTCGCACTGACCGTGAAGTAGCATCCAAGCTCTTAGGAACTTGCAAAGGCGGAAGGTTTGGACTCCTCTTTAATCAGATGTTAGGGTCTGAGCGCGCTGCCAGTGGGGCTATGCCCTGCGGGCGCGCGATGTTGCGTAGAATATTTAAACATTTCCAACTGGAGCGTGACCGCCTTGGCATGCTTGGCGAAAGGAAGCTGTTGTCCCTTCAGGTCCCCGGTAACACTGTAGCCGATCTAGTTACCTTTAGAGACACATATATCTACGTAATGTCAACAATTCCCATAGAGGATTTGCCGCGACCGCAAACGTTGTTGAACCATCTTATCGACGAACTTGAGCATCATGCTGTAATGGCCCCAAAGGTCGTTAAAGCTAGGGAAGCCCGACTAGATAGCCATCGTCGCACAACCGACTGGTTATGGTCTAAAGTTGACCTAGCCATCCAACTGGAGCAGCAAAAGCGCAATCGCCGAGATTTTGATAGGCAGCTAGGTCTAAAACCAGTGGCAGGGTACTTCGGTACTAATCCACCTCCCGATGAAAACATCGCTGGTGCCCCGGCACCAACCCCAGACCCAGACCCGGAGAACACTCCTGAATCTCCAGCAAGTCAGGGTTCAGGGGGGAGTGAGGACTTCCTTCCTTGGAAGGATGCTCAAAATGAAGAGGATATGCAGGCAGCCCCTACCCAAAAGGCCAGACCCATAGGATTAAAGCAGCCTCCATCCACTGATGTGGATAGCACGACCCCTAGGGGAGAGGAAGCCAAGAAAGCAGCCCGAATGTCGGCAGCCGAAAAGGCCATCACCCCTTGCATGTTCTTCGCATACAATGCATGTAGGGCTAAATCGTGCGCATTCCTCCACTCTGAAGCCAATAGATATCAAGGACCTCCTCCTAGAGCACTTGGTAAAGGTGGCAAAGCCCCTCCCAATGCCTATGCTAATGTAGCAACCGTGATAGTCCCAGAGATCGCCGCCTCTGGCGCGATTAAACCTGTAATCCCCGCTATGCCTTTCAAAGCTTCCACAGCCATTCCTTGGCTTTGAGACACTGCCGCAGGTCGACACCTCATTGGACGCCAAGCCTTCACACCAGCCATGCGGGAGAATGTACAGCACTCCCCAAACCCCGTAGCTTTCGCTACCGGTGGTGGCAGCCAATCCGGCAAAGAATCCCTAACCTTTAGTGGCAGCAAGATTCTTGATGGTGAAGAGGTCTTGAGGAATGCCCTCCAGCACAAAGTATAGGTAAAGCAGTCATAGACAAAGGTTACATGTTCATCTGGGATCCACGGGAGAGCGTCCCATATCTAATAGCTCCCGAAAACGTCAATAGATGCAGGCTAAAAGTTCCCAAGAACGCTAAAATCTGCGCATCTAGGGTGGTAGAATATGTCCCACAATATGATGAAGAACTGACCCCATGTTCATTTGAACCAAGTGAGCGCCTCGCTCCCGTACCAAATGCAATGCCAGCTTCATCCTTAGGACACAAGACACTCGTAGAAATAGATGATCCCAATAATCCTGGTAATTCGTCAAACTCTACACCCCGTGTCTTTCCATCCGCAAAAGATGTAGAAACTGATCTAGCACTTGACTCTGTTGATGACGCTGTTGGTTTGGCTAACGCTCGGGATCTAAAATGGTCGTTGTCGATTATTCCAACGTACCCAACAACCCAATGGATGACCAGCTCCTAGTCGAACTGGGGGATGGCGAGCCGCCAAAAGATAAAAACTTGAAGCAGCAAGCCACCAATCCAAAACACATGCGATTAAACTTTTCAAACAGCCCGTGTTACCCCAGTAGCCATATAACTAAAGTTAACGCTATGAAGTTGTCACATTCCAATGACGGCAAAGCCGATGGTTTTGTTGACTCTTCAGAGCAGCAGCATGAGCAGCTCTCACCAAACAGCGTTGTCCTAGATAAAGGCTCCCAAGAGTTTGGGGTATTAACAGCAAAGTTGAGTCGCATAGAAGTGAAAGCGAAGCAGCCAATGTGCTTAACCCAGAGCTTTCGGTGCCTGAAGGCGATCTCGTCTCTCCGGTAGGTATGTCATGTAGCCATGCCCTCTTGGGGGGGGTAACCCACGTGACTTGAAATCCCCTAATAATACTGAGGAAGACGTTCCCTGTGATAAAGATGGAGGTAATAATGACCCTTCAACACCTGATCTTAGGAGATGTCCCATGAACACCCTCTTAGATCATGTCCTCACTGCTGAGGATGCGCCTGGATGTGCCACCTGCAATAAACACATACGGCTTTATGCCGACCAGTGCTGCGCCCGCTTCACAAAACGGTTGAAGAAGAGAAACGACATAAGAAGGGAAAGAAAGCACCACTTAACGCAAGCACACAAAGAGTCAAAAGTGACGCGGATGCTGAGCCGTTTGCTCGCATCAGGGTAGGTGAAGAACTCTATAACCCAATTCCATCACATTTGTCCCTTGATAGCGATGAACATCATAGGATAGTGCATATTCTGGTCCCAAGTTGGAGCTTCCAAATCCTGATGTCCCGTCACCCTCAAATGCTAGCGTTTCAAATGCACTAATTCAATCCCAAGTTGTTTCATCAGCCTCAATCCCTTGTCAGGAGTCGCTCCCAGGGTCTAACCAACCAACTGGTCGCACTAACCGTAGACATCGGAAAGTTGCCAAGAACGCCTGCAACGCGAATGCTAAGTCAATCACGTCCAAGTTTTCCTGTTCCCCTGACATCCAGAAGTTGTCGGCAAGCGAACATAATGGCATTCAACATGATAGACTTAGTAGGGATAATATGGAGTTAGGTAATGGGTCGCAGTACGGACTGCTGGGCAATCACACGGCTGAACCCGCTGAAACCGCGCCGCCACTTACGTGGACCTCATCCTCCTGCTCACACACATTCCCTTGGCAGCACCCCAACCACAACGAAGGTCTTAGGTCGAAGGCAGCCGCCCCACTTAGGAAACCTTCTCGGCACATAACTGCCGCTGCCGGTATCGCTGAGGCGTTCCGGAATCCATCCACCTCCATCACCAATGATGGACCGAAATGGATGTGTACCACACGCATCGCTAAACCATAAGCCAACGCATAGATCGCTGCGGGTACCCATAGTAGTGCGTAGGTGCCTGCCAAAAGCGCAGAGCTTGGATCAGGCGAGGGGGGAGTTGAAATATATCGACCCCTGAGCCCCCACTGCATGTAGCATAGCAGGTAGGTATAGCGTGGTGTAAATAGCCAAGCTATGAGTTCCAATTCAAACTCCAAGTAGATATACTGAATACTCAATGTACAGTATAGCACCCCATATCTTGTGCTATAGATATGGAGAGTAGCCGTAGTTAGAGATGGGTAATCCGTAGCTTCCCCACCCACACAACCACTTGGGTCGGGGTTAACTTTTACGCCATCGACGCTTGGCTCAAGTGCCCTTCTCAGGAAAAGGGTGCTTGGTTCGTTTAATGGGTGGGTTACTGGAGGATCTGGTTTGTCCTGTTTGTTCCCCGCTTTTCACTTTTTCATGTTCATTCTTAGTTGCTCAAAGCTCAAAAGTGAACGCCGCTGCGGAGCTGCCAAATACAGGATGGAATGAACCAACGACTTTGGCCCCATGATCCTGTTCTATGCCACCTCCTCAGCAGAAAACTCGAATCATGTCTCCAAGGCCGGAGCATTGCGTTTTCACCTACTAATTACCATGTGTTGGTGCGTTTTGTTTCATTTTGTGTTTGCCGTCCAACTTCAAACGATCGACTTGAACCATACAAAGACCCTGTGTTGTTTTGCAGCAGAGGCTGGATGCCAGAAAAGGTCCAAACACGCTACTCAAAAAATGCTGAGGACATCGATTTCAACTTTACCCTTTCCATCGCAAGTAGCACAGTCCCAGTGCATTCCAGCTACCAAAAGTGAAGCCGCGAGGCCTGTATAGCATCATAACCATCTACCTGGTACTCAGCTGCAACTTACCTTGCAAATGTGAAAGTTGCGCAGTAGTTTTTCGGCATCATCACGAGATCACCTAGTTGAGATGTGCTCACTTGTTGAGGTCCCTCTTTCCTGACAGCCCAGGTGATTCGCTAGCAATGCTGAGCAAGCGCTTGCTGCGCAAAGTTGGTCGCCAATTCTTGGTGGCACTGTTCGCAAGTATATGGATGCCCTGGATGTTCTACGCCTCCTCTCCCATGAACTGCATCAGGAAGAACTCGCTGAACTACTTGAAGCCTGGGAGGGACTCTTGTCTTGAACAGCGATGACATTTCACGCTGAGGGCCCCTAAAGGTTCCTATGGTTCCTGGTTTCCACTGGCAACTCATATTTTGATCCCTCACTATTAGCTTGCCAGAATGATGCCCCCGAACTGTATTTGGTGCCCAGTGCATTTTCTCTGACATATTTTTCAACCCGCCTCGAGCTGCAGACTGGCTTCCCTAGACATGATCGCATGCACATCTAGAACCAAGGTTTCGGCACAGAAAGCGGGTTGTACACTTGGTTCCCGTCGCCCTCTCGATGTAAGGCTGCGGGTTGGCTTCTGTTTCTTCTGACAGCAACAGCTAACGACACTTGTGCGTCACCGGACAAGAGAAACCGAAGGGGCCAAAGGAAAATTCTTTGACACAGCAAAAACGAAGTTGCCCCTTTTTCGGCCTGAAGAGCTTGGGAAAACATGGCGGTTGTGATTTGTAATTTGGTCCAGCTGGATTTGTTTTCAAAGCTGGTGAGTTCTGGATTCAGGGATTTATTCTTGTCTCGAAGACCCGAAGTTGAACACGAGACAGGCGGGATGTGCTTTTTGCTTTGTCAAATGGATATGCAGAACGAAGATACAATCTTCATACTCAGTTGTTTATCTGGCTCGACTGAACTTCGCCACAACTCCAACTTTAGTCTGGACCGAGGAAGGTGCACAAGTCACGGCGGACATGTGGCCAACATGCGTCTCTTGGTGGACCCGTCTGCTCAACGTGCATAGCCCTGCCAACCGGTAGAAAGACCCTCCCGGTTTCCTATTGGAGGTAAAGACCCTGAATCCTTGCCTCGGACATTAAACAGCCCCCAGAGACCATGGTTTAGTAGGGGGATGTAGGGGGTTACGCATACTTGGCACCAAATAGCGGATGTTTGATATGGGGAAGGGATTAGGTGAAACTTCCAAGGCTGCAGCTTTTCAGATCGACATGCAGGAGTTCCTGTTCATTGGAATCCTGGGTATTTTGAGGCGATGCAAAGCAATGCAGCAGTTCACTGCTCATCGATCATCACAGTAATTGCATGGTGCTAGTTTTATCCCTGCACCGTATTGTTTTTTAACCATGACCTTCGTCTTGGTTTCAAAGAAGAATTTGGCCTTGACTTGACGATTTAACCCCGCGTTGGAGCAGGGGCCATCCACACACTTCATACATGTCATATCCATACCGGCAAGGAGAATTTATTTTAGCATATTTTAGCGGGGTTTGCTGTTCCCTTCACTTGGATAAACTTTTTCAACTCAGGCGATTTCTGCGGGTTTTTTAGTCATGGCGGCCCTCAGCTGCTGCGGGCAGGCAAAATTACATAATGTTGAGGTCCGCTTTACAACTTCAATTGTTGTGCTCCAATTCCAGGAACCAAACACAACGAAGCCATACAGATGCAGAATCCACAGTTTTCGGGGCTCTTCAGAAAGAAGCGGAATCATTCCTAGTGGACGATTGCGTCAGCATTAGTCTTGGTGGGCCTCTTGGAAATCTTTTCCACTGAACCGAAATCACCAGCTCTTGGGCGCTGACTGATTGGTCTGCTCAAGGTGGAAAACTATAAAGCGGCCAACTATGCGTTACAAATGTTCAAACCATGTCTTCAGTCTTTTCCCTTGCTGAGCTCTAGCCCGAAGAGTTCCCGCAGAGCACCGCTAAGGTTATCGCAACATTCCTGTAAAGCTGGGTAAAGCCATAAAGTTCACAGTTCCCGAAAAAATCGCAGAAGGTTTGCAGCCATAGGCTGTGCATAGATGGCTTTGCCAGTGCAATCCAATGTAAGGCCGCAGCGAATTCGGGCCCCGGGCACATGTGCGATAATCTTTTGTGCCAATTTTGCCCAAACAAATTCTGCGGACTTGCCGAGTGGAAGATAAGGGGGAGACAAATCGGCGACAAACAAGCGAGAGAAGTGGGAGGCAAGCGGGAAACAAGCAGAGAAAAGGGGCGGGAAGCAGAAGACAAGAGGCAGACAAGTGGGAGGAGACAAGCGGGAAACAAGTGGGGAAACCAGCAGCGGACAAGGGGTGACGAGTGGGAGGTAAGTGGGAGACAAGCTGCAGATAAACGAGAGACACTTGGGAAAGGATTGGGCAGCAAGTGAAAGACAAGCGGGAGACAAGTGGGCGGGGGTAGCAAGGGCCATGTTTTGCAATACACAGATCAGAACGACGCCCCTGAATACGGTGTTACAACCTGAACATAGATTCATATCAGATGCATATGAGAAGCACAATAAGCCTTCAATAAGCATATTTGGTGCATTTGCTACATAGATGATGCCCGGATGAACTTTGCAAGTTCATGATGTGTCACAATATGTTGCAATGACATGGGAGGGCTGGGTTGACCTGGTGGAGGCCTCATCTTTGGCTCCACGTTCTACCAGCAGTGACGTTTCTGTACTGGGCATGTCTCTTGGGATCGCTTCATGGAACCTGTGACTCTACGACGGGTGAGGAACATGAAGGCCCCAGCCTGTTCCGCAGTGAAGCGTTGATTGAACATTTGACATCATTTGAGAATGTCATACCCGTCGCAAGAATAGTAAAGCTGCGGGAAACGCATTCAAACGTGGGCGAATGCACTGTGCATGGCAGGTGTCCAAGCTTCATTTTGGATGCATTGGTTTCCGACCTCGCTGATCCTCAGAGCATTTTTCACATCAGCCATTTCTGACAGGAATTTTGTTTGCGGTTCTTACCTTTTCGCATTGCCTTTTAATGTATTTTCCTCAACTGCTGTAAGGATCTTTCTGAACCTGGATACCTTGCTCCGATCTCCCAACGGACAGTCTTCCATGGCGCATGTGAAGACCGGTCTCGGACTATTCGGCAGTGCACTTCTGGTTGCTCTGGGTCTATGTGTAAGTTTCTGGGTTGGAATCGCACCTGTTTGGAGCTTTGACTGGCAGAAAGCGGGTTTCTTGTTTGCATTAATCAGGCAACACCGCAACATGAAAAAAGCTACCGAGCTGCAACATGAAAATGGCTGAGTCAGAGGCAAGTTGAAGCTGCCAAAACAGAAGCCAACCTGTTATTTTGATACACCATCAACATTCATTCCCAAGATACAGAACATGTATTGACTCAGCAGGAATGCAGATGGTTGCTTTCAAGCGCTCACCATGAGGCTTGGCAACCTGCGGGTCGTTCCCGCTAGGGGGCTTGCCGCCGCAACTACAACTCATGGCCGTCCCGACATGTTCTTGGGGTCATCCTAAGAGATTCGGAATATTCGCACAAAGCGCGTGCCGTTTCAAGATTTGCATCCGCCAGCCAGTGCCTGATATCCACCTTTGAGAGATTTACAACCCAAAGCAAAAGGATGCATTTTCTGCTTGCACATGCAAAGGATGTTCATTATTCATTGTGAAATCAGAAATTCAGAGAAACCTGTAGCTAGCGTGTATGGGAGTCTTGGCTATTAAAAATGTTTACACTAGCACATCAATTCAAAGCAGCGATATCCGTGTATTGTGCTTGGGCAATGTTTCAACCAAGTTATTTTGCAAGTTCCTTCGATTGATGCAGAAGCTGCGTGTCAATCTAGGAGGCCATGCTTTGTCAGATGGCTGCATGATGTGCAGGTCGACTTCCCCTTCGAAGTTGTTGCTTTCATGGCTTTGCATCTCGGCTCGGCCCCTGCGCAGCAAGCAAAGAATGCTGTGGAAGCATCCAACGGCTTCTCAGTGATGGCCTGTCTTTGGAGAAGTATTGGAAAATCTCGCCGCTTGCTCGCAGTTGCATAATACAAGGGACGGGTCACGGATAAGATGGCTTGCAGAACATGTTCAGGCAGCCAAGCTCATCACTTCCCATCGCCTCAGGCTTCCTGCATTTTTTGTGTTCATTCTTCTATGACCACCTCGGTTGCCTGAGAAACTTGGACAAAGCATGGCAACGCATGGCAACGCATGGCAAAGCAGCAAAGCGATTATTGTTGTGGTCAAAGACTGCGTTGTTGGTTCTTGCAGATTCATGGCAGGCAGTTTCTCCTTTTCTTCCATCATTGCCTTGGCCTTTTTGATTGAGGTTCTATGTGTAGTTTTACTTCTGCAGTTGATGGCATGTAGAATTTGTGGGATTGTTTTTTGCATCAAGTCTTCCACGAGTTCACAGCTTGCGCTGCTTGCGCCACCATGCTTTGATCTCATGCAGCATCCTCCTGGCAAGCGTTCGGTGCTTCTCCTTGGGGCGACACATGCATCAGTGCCAACTATCCAGCAGATCCGTGGATTTCTGCGGTTTTCTTTTTTTGAAACAACACTTCTTCAGCTTTGACTGTTGCGGCTCCATGCCCTTGGAATGGCATTTTGTAAGTTTTCTTCACTATGATGACATGCCACTGTCCACTTGATGTATGTTGAGTTGTGGGCGAAAAGTTTCCTTAGGTTCAGCAGAAGGTTGGTTTGGCTACAGGGACTGCGAAGTACATGGGAGTCATTCCTGAAGAGCAAAATAAATGAATTGCACCGTGATCCGATCTTGTGATTTGAACTGTGTTTAGCGCAGAAGCGCGGAGCTCTCCCAGATTTGACCCTGAAGGGGGCTGTGAGAAAAGGAGCAACTCAGCGTTGACAGAGGTCTTTTGAGTCCCAAACTTGTATGGTTTGCTCTTCGTCTCCGCCAGGAAAGGTTGCGCTGGCCTTTCAGATCTGGCATCGCATTATTTTCACAACATTGAGGATCCACAGCCCGGTGTGGATGGAACTTTACTTCAACTCCAGCAGCCTCTTGTTTGATCTTGGGCCGGCACCTTCCAGAAAGCGCCCGAAAGAACACAATATTAGATACACCAATGGGTCAGGCCCTCAAGTATTTAAAAACCGTCGGTCCCTGTGCTTTCCACCACATGCTGCAATGCGATATGACATGATATCACATTACATCAATGCACAATCTCTTCTATCAAAATCGGAGCTGAATAGTCAGTCGCTTTGAGCAAGCAGCAGGTATAAAGGGTCTCCTGCACGGCTTGCAGAGTTGTCTCGGAAATGTTTTTTTGGGGTTCCGTGCAGCAATGCCTCACAACACAGAACTTAAGGGAACCTGCGGTTTGCAAAGGACGCGAGGTTCAGGGGCTCTGCCCAACCCAAAGCACCCGGAGGGATTCAACAGCCCGCACACTTCTATAAAGGAATGAAGATGGATGAAGGTTCTAAAGTCCCCCATGCTCAGGCTTGTTCACATGCATGAACTGACAGATTCAAGAAGATGAAAATCCACCCGGCAATTACTTGGTCCAAAGATAAAGCTTCAACTGTCAGGTGTTTTCGAGCACCAGCTTCTGTTCGTTGCCCCAGTGATCTTTGCGAGCTGGAGCCTCGCTCCTCGGTTGCAGGCTAGATCTTTGAGCCTGTGCTCCCTTCGTTGGCTATGACCCGTTTCAGCCACTCATTGCTTCCCGTTATTCACACATGCCATGAGTGAACGAAAAAAGGTTGTCCAGAGCATCTTTTTCGGGGGCTAGCTATCCTTTCACTAGTTTCCATCACGTTCCACATGTCAGACGTGTCAGAAAAGCTTTTAAAGCTCCTCCTCACAGCCGCTCGGACCATAGTGCCGCAGTGAATGCCTTAATCCGGCTCCGGCATATCAGGCATGGTTGACATACCACTTCATCCAAAAGCACTGGAGCAAACTAATCCGCCAAATCTCTGAGCATTGCTCGGACTTTGCCTCTCGTCAATACACAGTGCCCTTCAGCTTGCTTTGCTCCTAACTCATTACTTGCGAAGCATTGTTAGGGTCAAAGGGTTTGAAGAATGCAATAGTAAGTTCTTGTAGCTGAAGCCCTGATCATTGAAAAAGCGCGACAAGCGGCGTCTCTGCCGAACTTGCATTCAATGCGTGTGTCAAGTTTTGGAAACATCGAACAAAAACCCTGTCTTTTGCTCGGTCGGGTCACGGCTAAGGCCCTCTATTCTTTTGTGGCAGGATATGTCATCATGTGCTCAGTCATGTGGACAACAGCAGTGTGAGAAGTGCCATGCTACTCCCTGGCGGATGTTATGAAGGTGGAGATGTTTTAGTCCGGTTTCCGCGTGTTTGCCAGGAGCGGCTCAGCAATCTTAAAGATTTTGCGGCGTTGTAAGTTTTGTGCACATCAGGATAGTAGAGGGTGGAAGTCAATTTGTTGCTTCAAGCTCCTCTTCAGATTCAAAACATTTACATTCAGTGCCCGCAAGGCAGGTTTTTGGGCTGTCATTTCTTGCTGCATTAGTGATTAGCATACAGATCAATGTTGTGCCTGCGCGCATTCTTGCACATTGCAGCTTTCTACGAAGGTTTTGCAAGTTGTGGCAAGGCGGCCGTTTTGGCGAAAGATTGTTCAGGCCGATGCTACTTGGCTCACTGAACCTCGCGCGCTTTTACAGAATCATGTGGCGCCACTGGTTTTAGCTGTTCGGGAATTCTGCCAACGTTGTCCACCATTTTGCTGGGGAAAGGTGCCTTTTCAGCAATTGGATCCATCTTTTTGCTCAGGTCTGGAGTAGCTTCTTTGATTTTCCTCTGTTTTTTCCTTCTCTGGGGCAGGGCCGCGTGTTTTGGACGTAGAGACCCAACATTGCTTTCCGCATCCAAGATAGATTTTGTCCAGAAGCCAGATCCTGTCTTGCTTATGCTGAGACATTCACCTACAGCATGTTTGCATGTTTGTAACCATTGCATTTGGATCACGAGGTTTTAGCCTGGCCAAAGAACAGGCGCTAAGAAAACATAAAAAGTATATCAAAGTGTTTAATTCGTACCCTTTGCACATCACACAACAAAAAATCTGACGTTCGAGGAGTTGAAGGTGTGCTTGGTGGAAGGCGCGGTTTGTTGACTGGTGACAAAGTGTTGAAATATCCAATCACAAGAGCCACCGGAGACGATGGAAAGATAGGAAGTTTCAAGCGAAAGACTCCTGCCTTTCAGCCCTATGCTTCGCTCTACAATGGGAGGTAATTCAGAGAGCGAAGTGTTGGGCGCACTGTCAGCTGCAAGATCTACAAGGACTGTTTCACGAGTACGAGCTGAAGCGTTTGCTCCAATTATGCGATACCATAAGTCATCATCAGCACAAGGCATCTGGTATGGAGTATGGAGCCCCATCCGGAAAGACACCTACGGCATATGCTAGCGTCCTATCTTGAAACAGCAGTGCCAACTCGACCCAGCCATTCAAAGGCCATTAGTCATTAATGTACTTCCTGATTCACCTTTGTCAATCTCTCCTCTTGCCAAGATAACTTTCCAGAGTTAGCATGATGGACTTCAGACTGCTTGAAGTTTCATGTTCAACTTGGAAAGGAATTCACCCAAAGCAGCTTTGCGTTCCGTGCGCAGGAACGCCAGGGGTTTCAACCTTCCTTGCAGAAGGATCGCCATTATGAGAGACTCTGTGACGTTGGAGTACGTATTCCAGGTGGCCTTGGGGGTTTATCGACGTCAAAGACTGTTGGAATGAGACGACATGAAATGAGATGAAATATCGCCATACAGCATGCCACGTAGCACGCCATATCGTGACTGCCAAAGAACCGGGCATTGACCTTTAGGCTGTGGATACCTGGTCTTCTGCAAGCAGACCCGCTTCTGTCACATGTTCAGGAGAATCTTGTGACAGACATTCGCACTCTTGTGACATCAGTCTCCCTGAGAGCTTATTGAAGTGGGTCTCTGATCGTCTCACATTCAGTATCTGGATTCATGAGTACGTAAAAGCATGTAAAAGCCATTTTTTAGGATTTTTTTGCCTACGAGGCGCAATGGGGTGCGCAAGTGGAATGCGCATGTGCGCGCGCAGGGTTTAAAAGTGAACGTGTAACAACGGGCGGGTGAATGCGCAAATGCGCAAGTGAGGTGCGGGAGTGGACGCGCGAGCGCGCGAGCCGAGTGCGCGGATTAACGTGTAACTGCGCACTTTCACATAATCATCTGTTTTTAAGGTCATATAATTTGCAAACATGACAATGGTTAATAAGGCCATATTCATGTAGTTGGCTCCAAGAATGCGTAGACAGGGTTTCTTGAAGATTTGGCAACGTACTGCACGGGTAGAGGTGCGCGGGCAGGGTAGTGCGCAAGTTAGCGCGCAAGTGGTGCAGAGAGCGCGGAGTATGTACACTTGATCCAAGACGAACAAAAAGATACAAAATGATTCAACTTCCATAGTGTGTCGTGTTAAACTTTTCCTATTGCAGTACTGCACATCATCTTGCAGCTTCGTGTTCAAGCATGTTTTATTCAGATCATCGCTTTTCAGACTATACCCGGGCAATTTTTCTTTTCAGATGGTATCTTTGTTTGGTAAGGTCTTTTCAGGTCATGTCTTTGCAGGTCGCTGATCTTTTCAGATTCTATGATTCTATCTTGGCAGATAAAATGCTATATTTCTTGATTCATGTAACAAGCTGCATCCAGTTTGATTTCTCACGTGTCCAAATACAGTACCCTTTCTGGCTTCTAAGCCGTACAAGCCGTTGCTAGTTCCCAAAGGTTGGTGTGTCACTACTAACTGCTGTCAGTAGTCAATAGACCAAGAGGTGGTGGTGGGCAAGGCTAGGGCGGCTGGGGTCACCTAAGTCTTGAAAAATCATATCCATCCAACCCAACAGGTATATACTAGAACGGTACGAAACACGTTCCCCTCTTGATGCCATGCAGCTTTACTTTCCTTACCTTGGGAATAAACTTTTCATGAAAAAACAACTTTTTAAAAAATGTGAAGGTGCAATCCAGTTGCGTAATTTCTGAGGGAAGGATATGCGCGTACTGTCTCTAAACTTCTGCAATTCAAGAAGTGTAAACTTGTGAAAAGTGGAGATCCTTCAGGAGTTCATCGAAAAGTTCTCCAGTAAACTAAGTTCAAACACCTGAAAACACAGACCTGCCAAGAGTTGAGACAGAGAGTTTCTCCAGCTTCATAAGCTTCAAAAACTTTAAAAAAAAACATGTGACGCTTCAGAAATTGTCTCCAGTTCCTGAAGCTCACCAATTTGAAACTTATCCCTTCCCAGAGTTGAGGCACTCCAAAAGCTGAGAGCTTCTCCAACTGAGAGCTTTGCAAATTAAAGCAATTCAAAGGGTGGAAAATTCATCCCTACTGAATGTTGAGACTGCAGAACTTAAGGGTTTTCCAATTTGGGAAAATGCGTTTTCCCCACATCTTTGCGTGGGGTTCTTGTTTTTGATTCTGAAACCCGCCTCCTCCGCCTCCTCCTCCTCCGCCCCCTCCTCCTCCTCCTTTCACACACTAGACAAGAATGGATCATTTGAGTGATCCGGCAGGAACTGAATCCTGAAACATGCAGATTAGATAGGAAACAAAGAAATCAACGATGCATCTTCAAATAATAGAAGTTCTCCTGCATGGTCTCCATGTCCAAAAACGTCATCAAAATACATTGGCGACATGATATTGACGAAAAAATCAAAATACAATCGGCGATGTGGTTTCGGCGAAATGAGCAAAATACATCGGCGACATGGTTTCGGCGAAAATACAGATTGTGGCAACCGTGAAGAAATAAAATTGACTTGGAGGCTCTTGGGTTGAGCCTCTTCCCATCACCAGACATTGACAATTGAATGGAAGCAAACCCTGAACAACAGGTAGTCACAACAATGCAGGTACACCAGGGTGATCAGCCCCGGCTTCCACCATCATGCATAGCTTCGTTGGCATGCGTTTGCATGATGGCCGCATGCCCCCTGCATAAACAAAAAAACGAACAAACGTCGAAGTTTTACATCTCTACAGATGAGTCACACACACACCCTGCCCAAGCAGGGTTTCATTTTTGGAAGAATATAGCGGTCTTACGTGTCGATGCACGAATTGTTGTGAACCTTCGAAATTGTGACTTACAAGGCTGCTGTCAGTCTATTCAGAAGTTGAGCACGAAGCTTGCTGCAGAACTTGGATCGCGTCGTGGAAGCTCATGTGTGCCACCATTCTCCATGGGTCGCTAAGTTCCCCAGATGCCGTAGCTGCCGTCAGTGAATCCGATAACTGCCTGGCCAAAGCCGGGATAGTAGTGACATGTCCTGCTTCGTCTGGCGATGGAGTCGTCTCAATGGCTCTGTTGCGAAAAGGATTGTTCCCATGTAGTAGAGGAATTTCAAAATGATGGCGCCAATAATCTGCAGTTTGCAAGGACCATTCCCAAGTTCCCGAGAGGCCATAGAAGAAGTGTTCAGGATCTCGACATTTAGAAATTCCCGAAGTTGGTATCTCCTCAATAAATAGCTCACGTTCGTTGTTGGAGTGTGTAAAGATCTTGAAGTGAATCTGATGAACCACTCGTGCGGTAAAGTGTGCATGGCGGTGAGCACTGAAATGTGAAGGATCGTGTGTCGGGAAAGGAACTGCAGGTTGAGGAGGGGCTGAGTTGTGTCCATAGGTGCCGCTGCCGCTAGGTCACTAGACGTACCCATTGGTTCCAAGATGCCGAAGGAGTTGAGGTCGGGTTTGTAGAGGCATCGATAGTACTTGCATCGGGAAGAGTGTAGAGTGGGTTCCGCGATTCGAGGTCAAAGGCCATCCCAAGCCCGCTGAAGTTGCGTCACGCTTGTTCTCCATGGGTGAAACAATAACTCAGACGAAAATTTGAGAAAACCAAAAGCTGAGGGGACAAAAAATGTGACCAACCAGGAACGACGTGGAATGACAAGGAGCATCAAAGGTAGATACGCTGCATCCGCCATTCTGAAAATGTCACAAACAGGATTCAGTTCCTAAAACCTAGAAGTCGTGCGTTGTGCCACTCCAGGCCCGTGTTCAGGTCAGCCACAATAGGCATAAACGGCTTTCAAGTTCCAGCGAATTAGGTGCACAATATGTTTGACCTCACCAGAGAACCATCAAAAGAAAGAAGACCACACCTAAAGATCGTGTACCTGCCTGCGTTCTGTCTCATGTAATGTAACTGCAAAGGTTGCTGCGAAAGAAGGAGGTTTCTGAATGTTCAGAACAGCTTCAAAGATGAAGAAATGCGTCGGCGAGGAAGCCCTGGGACCACAGGAGCCGCGGGACTTCGTCAAAGGCACAAAACGGTAAGGCCATCTGTTGCACATTACTTAAACGAATTGTGTAGTGGAGTGTAGTGGAGTGTAGTTGTGTAGTTGAAGTTGTAGTTGTAGTGTTGTGTAGTGCAGTGCAGTGTAGTGGAGTGTAGTGTAGTGTAATGTAGCGTAGTGAAGCGAAGCGACATCTGAACCTCCAAAACTGGTCCGAAACCCTGGTGTTTTTAACATTTTGACTTCGAAATGTGCTTCGCGCCACAAGGGCGTGAACTTTTTCGACATCTCAACTTCCAAAAGTGTTCCGGAATTCCTGTGTTTTGTACATCTTGACTTTCAAACGTGCTTCGCGCCACAACGGTGTGCACTTTTTCGACATCTCAACTTCCAAAAGTCGTCCGAATTTGAGGTGTTTTGTACATTTTGACTTCCAAATGTACTTCGCACCACAACGGCGTGCACTTTTTCGACATCTCAACTTCCAAAACTGGTCCGAGAATGGTGTGTCTGGTACATTTTGACTTCCAAACGTGCTTCGCGCCACAACGGCGTGCAGCTTCATCTCTCATCTGGCCAGATGGCTCCGCACCCGTCGCTTTAGCGAGCCTACTTTTCGACCCTCCGGAGCCACAAATCATTGGAAAAACAGTGTTTCGCGGCTTTCCTACCTTTTCGCGCATCTGCATCTTCTTTCTTCTGACTCTTTCTCTTCTACTCTTCTCTCTTCTAATCTTTCTCTTCTCTCTGCCTCTGCCCTGCTCTGCTATTCATCTGTCCATATTGTCGGAAGTTTGACTTCTAAACTTCCTTCGACATATACAACTACACTACATTACACAACACCACACTACACTAATTACATTGCATTACGCAACAACTGCAACCACCACTACATTGCACTACACGACACTTCACTACAGCTACAACTACGCTACTTTACATTGCCATACACTAGACTACACTACACTATACCACGCTACACTACACAACATTACAGTACACTACAATACACTACACTAACTACACTAACTACACTAACTACACTAACTACACCACTACTCGCGTGCACGGTTATAGTGCCCCCACTGCGATCGTTCACAGCAGTTGCGACTGCGAGCGGTTGCGGATGGTTGTGATCACAAAAGCAGCGCCGAGCGAACACACCCTAACCCCGAGACCCCCAAAGTAAAACGAGAACCCTTCGCTACGCATTCGGGAACAAGATGCAGGCCACGAACCCGAATGCTTACACCTATGTTAATGGCACAGATGTCGAAACACATAGAAATGGAGGCTTCATAGATGTTGCAGCCCGTGGCTGCAGCCCAGTTCTATCTTCAGCAGAGCATGATTATGGAACGAGGATGCTACGTCTAAAGTGTAAAGTGTAATGTGTGGAGTGCAAAGTGTAGAGTGTAAAGTGTCAAGTGGAGGTTAAAGTGTAGGGTGTGGAGAGTGGAATGTGGAATGTAAAGTGCAAAGTGTAGAGCGTGGAGCGTTGAGCGCGGAGTGTGGGAGTGTAAAGTGCGGAGTGTAGAGTGTAGAGTGTGGAGTGTAAAGTATAGAGCGTACTGTGTAGAGTGTAAAGTGTAAAGTGTGTAAAGCGAGTGTGGAGTGCAGAGTGTCAAGCGTAAAGTGTGGAGTTC